ATGGGGGGGGGGAAAGAAAAAATCACAGAGCCCCTCTATGGCCAGGTGCTACCCCTCCTCCCCAAAGGCCAGGGCTTTTCTTCTCTTTAGAGTGTGGCTCAAAACTTTTCTCTCAGCCTCTTCAAAGAGCGACAACAGGCCCTTGGTCCCTTGGGAGCACAGAGGGGGTAGAGCCCAGTGGGAGAGAGACATACGTCACACAGCACGCACAAGAGGCCAGCCGGTGGGAAAAGAAAACGCAGAGGGAGAGGACCGAAAAAGAAGAAGAGAGAGAGGAAGAGGAGTCTGCATTTGAAAGGTGCTTTCAGCTTCTAGACAAGGGCTCTCGCTTTGTGAAAACGACAAGGACAGAAAAAGCAAAACAGCAGAAGTGAAAGACGAAGGGGGCGCAAAACCTGCCATGTCTTTTATCAGACTTTGAGGCAGGGGGATGCATTTAAAAAGCTTTAGGCCTACATCCAAAAAAACCTTTCTACTTGAAAAAAATTAAAGGGACTGGCACACAACCATGAAACAAGGAGGTTGGGGCTGACATTTCACTGTGATTCACTTTTGAGTTTCACTCAGTCGCAGATGTACCTCAGCTATTTTTCTACGGTTCCATACAAGCTGATGGAAGCTCAATCTGGAGAAAACATATACGAGCTCTGGAAATGTTAGAACAGCAACTCTTGGTAGACTGTAGGCAACTTTTACTATGCAGAGGGCAGGGCCTCAGAGAGGGGGAGGAGCCATCAGTGTCACTACAAACACTTCCCTGCGTGCCACACTTCAAATGCAGTCTCATTTCATCAGCCACAACCACCACAGGGCCACAGGGTGAACGCAAGAAACAGATGGAGCCTAAGGGCGGAGAAAGGAGGAGAGAGGGGGAGGCAGCAGAGGGGGGAGGGGAAGCTTAAGGATAGAAAGGAGACATTTAATGAGGAATAACAAATCAAATAGATTCCTTTTTCTTTTTAAATAATTGCCTTTTCTTTCATCTGTTGGCGAGAGAAGCAACCTTCTGAACTAACCATGGGAAATTTGAACTTCCGAGTCAGTAGTTGTGAAAAATCTTCAGCTCTATCAATGTCTTGTGTCAGCAGCATGATTTTACGGGGTGCATAACATATCAAATGTATGGGTGTGTAGACACCATAGTGTACACAGGGGACAAAGTGTGCCAAGGCTCACATGATCTGGATCTCATATTTTGAGATCCACCTGCCCACACCACTCGTTCATTCACTCACTCACTGTCTGTCAAACTCAAACAAACCCTGCATCAGAGTGCAGATCTCATGAATCTGTTACGCCTGCCAGTGTGTCTCTACATCTCTATGTCTGTTCAGTCAGCCACGATTTCAATTCAAAACCACTGATGAAGACAAGCTGCTGGTGTGAGAAGTCCTTCCAACAAATAATCAGCATTTTCACAGGAAACATGGTCTGAAAAAAATCATCAAAAGAATTCCAAGCGATGGCTCCCCACTGTTGACACCTGACCCACATTCTCCTGGACCCTGGTTCAGCTGAGAGGGGCGCTCAAATATCAGTGACTAAAAATAACTATCTCACCAGGTATTCTTTATAACATAGCTTTTAAAGCTAAGATAGTTAACTCCAATTCTTTAACCAGGAGTTTATATTCTTTTTTTTATCCTCAAAGCACCACAGGGTCAAGCTTTTAAAAATCTCCTCTAAAGAGTGTGAATACTTTTCAACATGTGGTAATAAAGCTTTACTTTACACAAGGTTAAAAATTAATTCTGGAATAACATGTAAACATTTTGCATAATTCACATTATTTTAGGTGTGTCCAATTTTTAAGTCTAGCTGAATTTCTATAAACAGATTTTGTATATAAATAAAGAATTAAAGTTTGGTGTCAGAAACCTTTTCGTTCTGTTTTGTAGGCAAATAGTTTCATCCACGAGTGTTACAGTGGACGTTGGCTCTATGCAGGAAAGCAGAGCATGTGAAGGGCAAAAGAGGTAGAAAGCATCGGGCCAAGCTCAATATCAGAATCCATCAGCTACAGTCTGGCGACGAATCTGCTTTTTCCTAAATAGAATCGGGCTAAAAGTGCAGCTAACGGGAACCAGAAAAAATGACTACTATACATTGAAAAATCTTAACATCACTGAAACTGACAAAAGAGGGAAAATAAACACACAAAAATTAAACTTGAGTGAGAGGATTTTAGGTTGAAGCTATACTGACGGCTACAGAAATCCTAAGTTAAAAATAAATCTGGGCCAACTGTATTAAAGCAAACATTTTATGATCAAATTGAGGAGAAAACATCCTAAAAATCAACAGCACTTTTAAAATCCAAGACCTTGAATTACAACTCGGTGCTGTTCTGCAGCCGTGGTACCAACGCTGTGAGGGGGGGGGGGATTACTGGTGAAGTGATTTTTATGATATATATGTATACAATCTTCTTAGAAGTGTTTAGTCAGAAATCAAACTCTAATCATTTATTTCAACCAGGTTAGATAATTGTAACTCTCTACATGCAGGGCTACACAAACAACGAGTAGGACAGCTCCAACTCATTCAAAATTCAGAGTCCTGACATGTACAAGGAAATTTGGATGCATCACACTGGTCCTCAATACAGTCCACTGGCTTCATGTACAATACAAAATCACTTAAATCCATCCATATGTCACTCAATGCTTCAGCTCCTGAATACATTTTGTGACCTGCTCAGTCTTCAACCTGACCCGTCCGCTCAGATCATCAGGTGAAGATTTTTTGGCAGACCAAGAATTAGATCAAAGTCCAGATAGGGGGCCTTTAGGGCGCGGTTACATCCGTACCGTGCCGTACTCAAGCACAATTTTAAGTTGCGCACATGATTTATTATTTGATTTCTAAATCCAGTTTATGATTGTGGAGACAACTGTTAATCCTTGGATTTCAATGCTTTACCCAAGTGTAAAAAAATCATTGCGCTTACCTGTAACTAAATGTGTTTAAAAATAACATAACTATTGCTAATCAACAGAGGACATTCGATTGTTGTCATGTCTAAAGCTACATTTGTGTATTTCAGTAATTTTCTGACTTCTGTGATTTGCTTTCAGCTATTTAAAACCGCAACACTCAAAATAACAAAGCAATACGTAAACAGACGGCTACAACTTGAAAAAAATATGAACATTTTTGTATTTACTGTTTAATCACAACACAAAAGGGAAAAGTACTCAAATAAATATTGATGATGGAAAACACCTTTCTTCTTTAATTCATTTTCCCTCTGAGCTATAACAGCCATCAGGCACCCGGACTTGAATTATTTATACAACCTGAGCTCAACATAACTGCCCATTTTTCAAGAACATCAAACCCATTCGTCAGGCACTCCAGTTCCATTCAGAGCCATGAACTAAACACACCAATGTTGTTAGGGAAAGCACATGGATTTTTCCAGGAACAAGTAGGTAGTGTTTGTTTTTGTGGTAACAATGTATAGTAATTACGTGGTAATAGTGTGGTTTCAAATGCTTAAATTGCCTGAGGCCTACAAACCCAACTGCACACACAAGCAGCCATGTAAGAAGCATGGCTTTAGCAGTTGACACACTCAATAACTTAATAAAATAAACAGTGTCTCAAGTTTTTCTCATAGAACCAATCGCCCCCAAAAAAACACCCAAAGAACAAAGCCTGCAGTCGGCTGGATCCTGTTACTTTATAACTGAGTTTATTGATACTTTCAACCACACTCGACTGCTTGCATGTCACTTCAGGATGCCAGATTCACAAAAGGACCAGCCTCCCTCTTTTAACTAACCCATGACTGCTCTTCAGGAAAGCAAAGCTACGTAGAAAAAACCTCCTGCACAAAACAAAGCAATGATAGATTTAAGACAAGACTCAAGGGGAAATCAATAGATATTTCAGCTGCCGAATATCCTGAAGTTTGAGATTTGTCTTTTCCTGCCAATATGTCAAAAAAAAAAGTTTCACAGCAGCTCAACAATCCAATTTATGTGTGCAGTTATGAAGTAAATTAAGTAGGATGTAGCATAATTTCAATGGTTATGTTTTCATAAACAGCAAATGAGTAAGCTGTTTTTAAGCCGGCTGTGTATTTTACCACACAGCTACTTGCTGATGAAAATGGGATTCTTTCAAAATGTTAAGATACTAAAGGAACTGTCAAATATCTTTGAATAAATGTCTGCCACCCCGTATCACAACATGGTGTAACAGTAGCTAGCTGCTTTATTGTTCAAATGCAAGCAATCCTAACTTCTAGGGCTGTGTTCAATAGATGCATTTCTGTTCGAAGTGTCTGGCTTGTGGGTGGAAGAAGTGATTTTCCTTTTTGTCTTGATGGGCTCCAATTCCTCAAACATGCTGCCTTTGAGAAAGGCATCACTAACCAAAGAGGCTTAAAGCTCCTGTGAAGCAATTCCAAAGGATATTTTCTTCACTTGACAACAACAGCACAGTGTTTACAGCAATGCCAAAATACAGAACAAGCATGACCTCCAACATTTCTCCCCAGCGTTTACAATCCACACTTGTCACCAGACTGTCACAATTCGCTTTCAACTCAGGCTTGATCTATGGTTACCTAAAAATAACACCCTTGGATCAGTGCATAGGATAATACAAACATTTGTTCTCTAGATGGAGGGGGGGGGGGGAGGACCGGAGTGTTCAAATACATTGTTTCTTTTCAAGAGTGCCAGCTTGTGCTTTTGAAGTTCCGTGTTCCTTTTCAACTTTGATTATGAGGCTGGTTGGCGGAATGGCAGATATTTTAGTGAGTGAAAGAAGCAAAAAAAAAAAAATAACACGCCAAGTGCAAAAGTTATGAAAAGACACTTTCCACGCCATTTGTGGTGCAAGTAGGCTATTTCTACACGCAGCCTTCAGAAAGTTTGTCAAGACTGTGAGTGCATAAGACAGAAAAGGGGGCATCTGACAGGGTAGAGGTCTTAATTACGTCAGAGCATTTGATGAATATTACTCATGGGCCACAGTTTGGTACTCACCCGCGCAGTCAAACCGCAGTTGTTCTTGTGGTGACAGTCCGGTTGCCCGAGGCGCGAGCTCGTGCAGTAGTATTTCTGCTTCACGAGCCAGTCGTCGATTCCCTTTCTCGCCAAACAGGCATTGACTACAAAACTGTCGCCTAAGATAAAATAAAAACACATATAAGTATCTGCAAACTCAATATTCTAGCGCTACAAGCATGTTTCCCAGAAGCTGTCCAGGTTCAAAGAGTCCGACTCGGCGATATAATGTTGCTTTAAAGAGCCGAGAGTCAGAAAACCGCTGGCTGTTCCAAAAACAGTACGAAATATAACACTTTTTATAAGTCAACAAATAATGTAAAGCGCGCTTACCTTCCGGGCTCTCCCTTGGTTTACAAATTGCGGCTTGGGAAAAGAAAGTCAGAAGACAATGAAGAATGTTACTCGAAAGTATCGCAGCACCACAAGAGCTATAGCTGTGATTTTCTCGGGAATAAGAGTCCTTACCATGTTTCGAGTGCAGTTTACCCATTTCTATGCATCGAGTTTGTGTTGAAAACCATCAGAGGGATATAATCCAAAGGTGAAAAGGGGAACGGGCTACGATATCCAGACAGAAGCGCGTCCGTGGAGACGAGAGTAGACTGCGCCCAGGAGGTTACGGGACCGTATGACTGAAGAGCCAAAGCAGCCTTTGATCCAGAGCTACACCACCGAAAAGAAACACACAAGGACGTATACCACTTCCTGTCAATGCTTTCACAATAAAACATCTCATCGAGGAGACACTGGCTTTGCAGGAAAGAAAGATATGAATAGCATACTTTCAGATTTGTAACGATTAGTTGAGTGAGTAATTAATGGAAAGAAAATGTATTAGGCTACATATTTATTGTTAAACCATTAGCATTAAACTTCATCAATAGGCCTACTTTCAAAGAGCTAACACTTTTGGACAGGGATAAGCTTTTGGAAAAACATGTCTTTGGTTTCTGGAAATTTGAAGAGTATTTTAAGACTATTAAAAAACGATTGAAGTCTACCTCAGATTTACACTAGAAATAAATAGGCTACCTGAACCTATAGGCTACCATGCACCATAAGAACAATTTAAACTTTTATCCTGAATATGAATAGTATGGGATATCCGGTGTTATCTGTTTTTAATGTCAGACTTGACGCACCTCGCTCAGCTTTCCCCCCTCCTCGTGTCTCCTGTCTCTTGACTTCAAAGAGTTGAGGAGGCGTCAAGAAAAAAGATCAGGATTTTCACCTGACAAAACATCAGCGCAGTGCAGTTTTGTCATAGGTCTAAATGAGGTCTGGGAGCTTCCTGCAGCAGTGGTCACGGTCAGCAGGTTGACGGGTCAACCGTGATATCTCAAGTAAGTCCAACCATACCATGACCATGAAGTCAGTAACATTTTCGAGACAGTTGAACTACTGACACAAAAGTGGCAAATATTTCCCCATAGTGGTTCAAGACTGATCATCTGTGAGTGGCCTAATTACATCACGTGAACAAGCCTACATTCACATAGTATTAGCAAGCAGGACAGGGCTATTTTTAACATTATTTAAAATGACACTCTTGATGGATCATGCCAGCATCAAAGAAGCCAAAATGACTGTTTCAATAATCTTTTGACTTCTTAAGTTGTTATTTTAAGCAATTCTCAATTATCTAAACAGATTAGCTTCCTGGAAACCGAATCATATCATGTTGGGTTCTCTGGTCCGATTATTTTGAAGCCTGTATAATTACACGACAGAGGACAGAAGTCTCTCTGTCATGTGGCTCCATGTTACTTTAATACATAGACACATCATAGGAGGACAGATCATTTGTTAATGTTCATAGATTCTTACCACATGAAATATCACTGTAGGGTCTAAAATATAATCATGTATAAACATAGCCTACTTTTTTTGCAATCTTTAACCTGTGGCTGTTGAACGGTCCCAGATCAGCAACATAACTATTTCACTGTAATGCAGCAATAAAAAACAACAAGAAAATGACTTTAAGATTTTTGCCTAATCTGAAGTTGGGTGTTTTTTTTTAGCTGAAGACGTCTAATCAATTACCTAAGAATAAAAGGGGCCTTGATAGAATATAATCAGGGTGTGTAAAATCATGTGTTACACATTGAAGGCTAAGAGCATCTCCAAAATCCTTAACACCTAAATACATCAACGTTTCATATACAGGTGTTTAATCACAACAGTAAACTGAAGGTTGTTGTTTGCACTATTTGACCAAGTGAGAGGCATAGATTTATGTGTTAATATTGAAAATGTGCCATGTTTTAGCTGTGCTGGATGTCTAATGTTAAAGAATAACTCATCACTGATCATATCTGTGTCTTGGTGTTTTTCCTGTTTAAATCTAAAAATAGTAGGTTGATATATTAGGAGAGGTTCTTTTTTTTCAATTTCAAAAGATAATCTTAACACTTAACATATGTAAAAGCAAATTGACTTGCTGAAGTTTTAAATGTGCAGTTAATTTTGCAGGCTTTTTTTTTTTTTTCAGCCATGTGTTGTACTTGCCACATATGCAGTACCACATTTAATAAATGCCAGTTCCTGTGCTAAAGGCCTGTCATGAAACCGCTGAAGCAACTCATGAGAGAAGTCATGTACTGGCTCTGTCATATTTCACTCGCTGAAATCACCATGCAGGAAATACATAGGCAATATACATAATTTGTTTGTGTTGTGCTTCGAATATTCTTCTAATATATTAATCTAAAAACAAATGTAACTGTGTTTGTATTGTAACTGTTTGGGTCCTTTCTCTGGGTTAATGGTGTTTTGGAGTGCATTGCAAAATAGTGTCCACTGTTGAGTTGGTCCATGGCAGAAGCAAGCAAGAATGTTGACTGTAATCGTTTTTGTATCCTACAATTTGGCCCTCTGGCAGTGAGAATTAAATGAATGTGGCCCTTGTTGTGAACAAAGTTGCCCATCCCTGACATAGAGCCACCAGTGTAGGACTTGAATATACCAACTTCCTACATCAGAGTTTCTACATATAGCTAAGCAGAAAATTACCCTTAGGGCTTGTGCAAGTTTATCAGTTTGGATGATTTCTGCAGACGTCAAGATCAAAAATGTATTCTGAACCCAATTTTTCAGGGAAGGTTTTTTTTTCACATCTTTGGGCATGGGACAGTAAACTGGACACATGCGTCTGATGCAGCACTCCAGATGCATTTTTCTTCTAAACAGCGGTTTCCACATCCTGACCCTATCATCACATGTTGTACCAAGAGGAATCAGGCCCCCCTTTGAACTAGTCTGCCACAGACACACAGATGAGCTTGTTATTAGAGAAACTCACGAATTTGCTGGGAAAGAAGGGCCTGTCCCTGTGACACACTTCCTGTCCTTTGAAGAGGCCAACGGAGAGATGGCTTTGCAGGCCTTATTTCCAAGCCTCGCCTTTGATGCCTGCGAGAGAGGAGGTGGCGGGGGTGTAAAGCCAAATTTCCATCCCATTGGTGTGAACCCCCAAACCGCCGATCAATCCCCCGTATTTAGCGTGACAGTTCATCAACTCAGAGAACAAATGAAGGAAATATTCACCTCTTATTACTACATTTTTCAAATGTAATAGAAACCAGTCACCTGATGTCTGTTATTTTTCTTCTTTATGGTGCAAAAGCTTCATCGAACAAAAGCAGATTTCTTAAGGCACCTGCTTGATTGATGTAGGTATTTATTGACCTGGGGGCGCTCTCCCTTTAGTGGCCGACTCAAGCTCATTCCAACATAAAAATGGCATTCACCTCAGAAACAGGCATAATGGGGGGCATTCAGACGACCAGATTCAGGGGGGATCTAATGATTTGTCTGTGTTTATGTCCTTGTAACAATGTTAGGGGCCTGATGCCTGGAGAGCCTACAGGAGGGAATGCTGCCTGGTGGTGAGGAGGGGGATGTGAAGCATATAGAAGGAGAGAGGAGCAGCTGCTGGGCGCTTAAAGCTCAAACATGTGACTGCTGCTTTTATCTTGAAGAACAAAAGGGCATAGATGTTGTAAAGGGCAGAAGACAATCGTGACTGAAGTACAGTGTTGATTCCTGCAGTGGCGGTGACTCAGCCTATTGTGGTGGACCAGCGTGCGATGTGTCAGGGAAAGGGTCCGCAGGGAAGGAAAGACAGCCTGGCATGCGTTCGCCATTCTGCACACTGGACACAACAGAAATAACCTGTACTCATAACTTTATTTACAACAATAAGCACGATTTAATGAACGCTGCTTTAGATGCTCAGTGGAGTAAAATTAAATGTTGTAGCAGACATAAATGCACAATGCTATTATGTACTTGTGCAAACTGGCAGGTGGCAGCTTCTTCCTTCATTTGATGCCCTACAACACCATTTACATTCTCATTTTAAATAGTAGTGTGTAAAGACAATCGTTTGACTTTTTAAGTTGTCAACATTCGTCTGCACAATACCCAGTCCTTAAAATGATGGGTTGAGTGTGTCTAAAATAGTAACGTTTCAATCAACTTGAGTTAATTATTATTTTGGAAAAGCCCCAAAACTTTACTTCAAAGAGCAACTGTATCATCATCTATCACCATTTAGTTATATAGGTGACTCAAATACTACCATAACAGTTATTAAAAAGGCTAGAGTGGCTAATTAAGAGTACGACTGAACAGAGCAAGTCATCTGAGGTAAATTAACACATGCTCTTGGTCAGATTTCTGAATGACTAGTCATTTTTCTAATGTCAAAAAGGCTCAACATTAAGGCCTGTATAATCAACACTTTCAGCTTCTTTACTCCTTTTTAGTATCTGCACTCGACACTGGATGCTTTTTTTGAAGCGGTGGGGGTGTAGCCCCATCCAGAACGAGGACACAATTAGTGTATTCAGCCGAAAACAGTGGGGTTCCCCCTTTGATGTGAGGATCAAATGAAGGAGCTGTGTGTTTTTGTCCAAAATGACAGGCTTGCCAGGTTTACTAATGGGTAGCTAATAGAAAGAGAGGTTTATGATGCTCATTAATTACACAGTCTGTCATATGTTGGAAGAGTAGAATAAAGAAGGTAAAGAAAAACAGAGTGGGGTGCAGCAGAGGGACCAGAGGGACGAGAATGAGGATGGTGTTAAAAAGATGGACAGGTTTACTCTGAAAAGGGAGAATTGGAAATTAAAGTGAAAAGCAAGCAAAGGAGAATAGATCGGCGAAAAACCTGACTTGATAAAAAGCAAAAGACAGAGAGAGGAGAAGACGAAAAAGGGAACAGGAGGAGAAAAAATAATCCTTTCCCAAGATAAGAGCAGCCACCAAGACAGTAGCTTCAAAGAGCAGGAGACAGTCTCATGGGAGCGTGCCATAAATCTTTTCCTCATCTTCAGAGGATAATTCCGTCCCTGATCCGAACACACCCAAGATCTCAGCACCCACCACTCTGCAGGTGTCTGAGGCCCGGTGACCCCTGGGGAGACGTGCACACTTCCAAGCAGCGCTGCTACTTTGAACTGCTTGGACTCACGTCGAGCGGCGATGGTGATCTTCACATAAGGTGCAAATGCGAATAGTTAATGAAGAGAGAAGCAGAAAATCAGAGCCTGTCACTCCCACCACGGGGAAGACTAGTGATCTCTGCTATCAGCTTCAACCAGCACAACTCCTGTGGACCCTCTGTGGACCCAGTGTGT